TTCGTCTCATGTCCTGATTGCAGACTGTTGCCTTCTCAGATACAATTTGCAAATATATTTTGGAGTTTTATTTTAGGCAGGATGACTAGTTGAAGGTTATTTAATTGTGATTGATTGTGCATGGGATGTTTCTGCTGCCTTTATTTTGTGAACAACCTGAAAATAGTAGCTGAACGTTGAAGGACAAATGAAGGGCATTTTCCTGGATGGAAGGGAGGGGATGTAGTGAGTCTGAACAGTCACAGAACTGAGTGTTGATGCTTCTAGAATTACATGTGTGCTTTTGGGAGAAATTGCCTTAATTCTAAGGAGTGAACAATATTTATTGATATTCAATATTTAGTTTCCTTCAATACTTGGAGTTTCTTTAGGGAATCTATTTCTGAAACCTTTTGGTGGGTAGGCAGGAATTGAGAATACGAGGAATATGAGCTTGACTGTGTCATTTTCATACCTGCAGCTTTCACAGGCCTGAGATCCCCCATAGTTTGTGTAGAATCCATTCATTAATATGTGTCAGGAGCTTGATATTTGATGAAATATATTCATCATTTGAGATTACTGAACTATGGCACTACCAACAGGTAGCATGAAGAGGAGAAGACTTTTCAGCACAGCCATTCTGTTGTGAAAATTTAATTTCATCATCGCACTTTGGGTTTGTTTTCTGCCAAGCTTTTAAGAGCTCAGTTTAAGAGCTGCTTTGTTATCTGCATTGACTGCATCCTCATTTTGATGGTTAGAAACATCCCTTCCTGGGTGTACCACCTTTGAGTTTTATGTTGGGATTTTTAGGTTTTTTTCCCCCTGGTTTCTTCCCTGAGCCTTTTTTGCTGCCTTGTGGGTAAATCAGCCACAATCTGCCTCTCAGGCAGTGTGTTGGATACAGATGTATAATGCTGTTACTAAATCCTTCTCCTCAGTCAAGTGGACTGATGACAATGTCATAAGACAAACATATTTCTGTTCTTATTTTCAAGCTATTTGTCTTGTTTTCTTTTAATTGCCTCAGTTTTTGCAAGAAAGCAAGGTTTAAAAATAGTATCCAGCATCTTCAAGACCTTAGCTGCCACCCGCTTCATATAGTTATTAATATTTTTCCTTTGCAAGACCTATTTTCCTCTGTGTCATCCATGACTGGATGAAGTATAGTCTTTCATTCTGTTTCATTTTGGAGATAAGTGGAAGAAATTAGGATAAAAATTCCTGACTCTCTTGATTGTGGCATTTTCAGAGTATTTGTCTTTTCTGTTTTGGGGGAGATTCTGTTAGAATTTTTAAGACAGAATGTTTACAACTCACTGAGCATCATCTTGGGACTTGGAAAACTAATAAGTTGCCTAACATAAAATAATTACTTTTCCTAAAAATGTTTGTTTTATTACCTACCCCTACTTCATTTCATGCATGGGGGAATACTACTGAACTCCACAATGCACATCACAATTTGCTCCTAAATAGTCATATCTTTCAAACAGCATAGCTTGAAATGATTCGAGGAGTAAGTACCTAATTCAGATGGATAAAACAACTCATTCTTTAGCAGTTTCCCAGTTTTAGGGTAAGAGGATTTACTGTGGCATAGCTAAACCACGTAGACAAGTGCTCTTTTTCGGCACCTGATAAAAGGATGAGTCCTCTTTTGTTTTTGAGCAGAATTATCCTACCACAGGAAAGCAGTTTATCAAATATGGGTAGTTGGGGGTGGGGTGTTTCACTTTTTGAAAAGCTGGTGTGTGTAAAATGAGGATTATGTCATGTTGTAAGCATTTCTAAAAACAGAAATGAGAAATAATAGGAAATTTAATCTTTATTCATTTTTGGAGGTATTAGAAATGTTGTCACTAAAACAGGCCTTCATGCATCATAAATGGTCTGTCAGCTTCTCAATGGATTATTAGGAAAGTAGAATGTCTGGACTCAGTAGGATTCTTCACCATTATTTTGAGGTTGTATTTTTTCAATATTTAATTTTATATTACAAGTTAGGGTCGCAATTAGTTGAGCCCTAGTCCACTAAATAAAACCAAAACTGACTACTCTGAGCTGTATTTGCTAGTATTGCTGCACTGTATTTGATGAGATTTCATTAATACTGCAAATTATTTTGCTTTTTATTACAAATTTTATTTAAGTGTTCAGGTGCAGAATACAGGAAGGGATAAGAATAATTTGTATAACTGTTTTCATAATTTAATGTATAGCTGTTACTTTCTGGACTGTATTGCCAAAACATTACAACTTTGTTCTAAACTCTTCCAGTGAATTATTGACTTCATTTGGCCAGAGATGACCTATGTGTAGTTTTACTTAAGAGAAGATTTAATTCAGTTTTTCTTTGTCGTTTTAGCTGGAGTTAGAAGTGATATAAGCTGTGCAGACCTCTGGGTGCTAGGCTATACATGCTGTTTCCAGCATGTGATAACCACTGAGCTTTGACATACCTGTATTTCATGTGAAAGATGTGTGATGAAAGCCCATGAAACTCTGTTCTATTACACCCAGCTGCTCCTTCATTATGCAATTTCTTGCATCTACTCTCAATGTATGAATGTACTTAATAGCTTTGGCATTGGGGCCAACTTTTAAAATTTGAAGCAAAGCACATGGTTTGCGGAGTGTTTGGGGCAGCAGGGAGTCAACTTATGTTTCCCACATAATTAAAAAATGAGCTGTGCTTTTGCAGGGCCTTTTTCTGTCTCTGTCTTGTTGAGCACGTGTTTCCTGGAAAAGACCAGTGAGCCACTCTTGAAGATGCAGTTTGCATCCATAAATTAACTAAGAACATCCAAGGGCAGTTGCTAAACGCATTTATAATTGTGCAAACATGTAGTTTTGTTGTTTACAGAGCAGTGGGTAGCACCCTGGAGAAGCAGAGAGCCAAAGGGATGTGCAGAGCAGCAGCACATGAATGTAGATGGGCAGGGAGCTCATTTCCACACGTGATCTTCATCATCTTCATGTCTGGGTATTGATTTTGCCTCAGGAAAAGTCAGTGTGTTTTCTCTCATACAAATAATGACAGCCCTGATTTTTTCTTTGGTGAGTAGGTGAGGAAGGCATTGGGTCCAAGGAATTAGATAGAGGAAACCCTAGAAATCAACCTAGATATAACCTCCCATAACCTCCCAAGCCATAAGACTTCTGAGACACTAATAACCATTGTATTTAATGACATATGTGTAGGTACAAATTAAAATAAAGATAAGACCTACAGAAAGAGGTATAAACTTTGTGAACTTAAGCACCCTGGTAAATACCCTTTCTGTATCTGAGGTTAATTCTTTAAAACTGGAGGCATGAGATTATGTAAAACACAAAACACCTTTCCCTAGTATGAAATCTTTACTTGATTTTATCCTACTTTTCAAATACTGTGGCCATACAGGAAAAAAATTATATTGGCTAAATAGTTTTCTAGTTCTTTAGATATGAAAACCCCCATCTATTTCAGAAGAAACGATGAAGTGCGAGCTTTCCTGTTCTACGTTTCATTATTTGGTGTTAAATCTGATGTTTTCCTGTTCAGAAGTGTCTTCTGGCTTTGGCTGGCCTTTCCACATACTTGGTTTGTACAGCGCTGCACATATTGCAGACTTGGAAACTTTTCTGAAGAATTCAGAAGAATTTAATAAGACAGGAATCTTGGCAAAGTTTTTGTATGGTTTCAACTTAAATGTTGAGATGCAAACTCACACAGATACAGTTTTTTTAAGGGTAAATACTTTCTTAAAATACCCACGTTCAGGAATCTACTAAAATTTCACACATCCTACACATCCAGAACAACTGTTGCTAGAATTTAAACAGTTTGTGTAGGGATACCCAAAATCAGAACTGTTGCCTTTGGCAATGAATCCATACTTAAGTTGCAAAACTGAACTGAAAGAGAAAACTTTTCCATCTTGTACTGCTCCTCTTATTTTAACTTTTAAACACTTATGTAATATTCTTGTGTCTTCTTGTACTTGGGTTTTATGTGAGCGCTGGGTACAGATTTAGAGGTTCCAGAATGTCCTCAATGATGTCCTGAGAGCTTCGTAATATTCTAAAATAGTAATGTACAAGACTGATTATCCTCTTACTTTGTTTTCGCCAGAATTTATTGCTACAAATGAGTAAGAAAAATGCCCTTGGTCATTCCTAAATTATGTATTTAAAAAGATACTTGAAAACTCATCTTGAAATATTTTTCCATTACTGCCAGTTCTTGACATTTAAAAATAACTTAAAATTTGTTTTATATTTTCTTGCAGAGTCCTAACGGAAGAGCTGAAAATCTTCATGTTCTAAACACTTTTAGATCAAAGTGACTCTAAATAATTTGAAAAATATATACTAATGTCAAAGTATACACATCAGAGCATAGTTCTGTTATCACTGTAGTTATCTGAGTATAATGCTTGGATAACTGATGGATTAAAAGAAAATACTTCAGTAGTTAGGTAAGATTGCTCAGGAGTCACAAAATAAAACTGTGTATTGGTGGAGTTTGTGTTCTCTGTGTATTTTCAGAAGTGACCAGTAAAATCACTCATTTCCTGAAATAGTTTACAAGACTCTAATTCTCAGATTATTTTTAAGAAATAAACAGAAGTGAATTAGTATCCTTTACACGGTTTAAAATTAATTCCTGTAGCTAATGAGGGGAATTTCTCTCAGAATCAGCATCTCTTAGAACCACTGGGAAAAAAAAAAATGGGGGGGGGGGGGGGATGAATTGTGAATTAAAACCACAAAAAAGTTATCTGTCAAATTGAACTTTCAAGGTCTTTTCTATTACAGGCTTATGAATTGTGAATTAAAACCACAAAAAAGTTATCTGTCAAATTGAACTTTCAAGGTCTTTTCTATTACAGGTATTGCTGATTAGAAGCTGGGGTAAGGCAATTGCAGGACTCTGCTCAGATGCTTGTGTAAATAACTTTGTTTCCGTGCAAGGAGCACCCTCAGTGATGTGTGGCTGTATCTGTAGCCTGAATTTTGTCTCCTCTTTGCAGGCAGAGCTTGTTGATGTCCAGTATGGGACCATGGAAGACTTGATCCGGATTCAAGCCATCACAAACGTGACCAAAAAAATTGCACTTTTGAAGCTTGGACAATCACCTTTGCTTTATAAGGTTAGTTACACATCAGCTCAATTATTCATTTGGTGGGTTGGGTTTTTTTGCTTGGTTTTTTTTTCTGTTTCAAAATTCAAAAACAAAGAGTTCCCCATTTTCCCCAATAAGTCAGGACTTACTGACATTCAAATTCTTCCTGAGTACTCACCACTGTCACTCTGCAGTGCCTTTTATGTGTTAGAGTTGTTTATTTTTCTGTATATCTTGCAGTGCCCCAGTACTCTGCTGTATTTTCTCTGGGTGTACTAGAAGCCTTTTGACAAACAAAGAAATCACTGAAAGAACTAATAGAGCAGAAGGGATTGTGTCTGGAGAGGGTGTACATGGGTGCATGTGTATCCATCCTCTCCAACCCCAGCTCTGGCAGAGAGCACAGAGCAGGAGCTCACTAATCCACTTTTGCACTAAACATAATAAACCACTCAACATATAAACCGCATTTAAACTCTAAACATCCAGTAACTGCCTTCTGTTGCAAATATCTTATAAACAAAATTGCTGGTTCAACTTTCAGAAAATACAAAAGAATGGTGGCTCAGTAAATGCTTAAACAATTAGTTCCCAATTCACAAAAGCAATTAGAAAAGAGCAGCGACTCCAGATCTTGCAGTTAAGTAAATCAGGACCTGCTCTGTTGGCCATAGAAAGCACAACCAGGACTTCAATACAGATTCAGAAAATAACCACTTAATGTTTTTTTCTATAGGGATAAGATTTGTCTCAATAAAAATGCCATTTTCAACTGAGTAGCTTTAGCTGTTTATTTAAATTATTTAGATGCAATTTAATTACGCCTGTGAAAGGTCAGTTGTCATTGCTGGGACTCGGTTGTTGCCCATCATTTCCAGCAATAGATCTGATCCTGCATTTCACTGCTGACAAAGCCAATGAAACAGCAATCAGGGCTCATAAAGCAGGGATTTGATAAAGATGTAAAGTTTGCTGTAGCAGCACTGTCTGTGAGATGGACTTTTTACCAGTTTGTGTTCCTGTGAACACTCACTGTGTCTGAACTACCAAGCAGCCTGAAGGAGAAGAGGAAACCAGGAGGTGCTGAGGACAAGGCACATCCCAGTGGCTTATTGGCTGTAACCTGGTCCCAATATGGGCTGTTTAATGGCTGAGGTACATTAGCTACATTTCTGGTGCTCCAAAAGAATCAGTTTTGCACATTCAGAATCTGTTACACAGCACAAACCAAAGTGTGGCGTGATCAGGAGATTGACTCAACTGTGTGCTCAGGGTCTGAAGTAGAATTACAACCACCCAAACCTACTTTCCATGGTCTCCTCACAGAAGGTTTTCCATTTTTCTTGAGCCTGTAAACTACCATTTTCTAGAATATAATTTGTGTCTTTTTTGCATTGGAATAATTTTAAGCTTTACTTTGCTCGTAACTATCAGTAAAAGGTGTAGAAAGATTATCAGAAGTAGATTCTCCTTTTCTAAGGAATATTTGATGTGAAATATTGCCTTAAACTGCAAGTCCTGCTGGTTTAAATGGGCCCAGTATCTCTCTGCTGAATCCACTCTTTGTATCTTTTTCTCTCCCCTAATGTTTATGTTTCTGTACTTACTGAGTCTCACATTTCTGTTTCAGCAGATACTTCCCTCTCCCTATATTTTCCTTATCTCTGCCTTCCATGTGCTTGGTTTTACATCACATTAAAACAGAGCACTAGCTCATAAGAGAGCTGTGGCTATGTAAACATATATACTTAGTATTTATTATATTATTTTTTATAAAAGTATTTTACTTTTTGTATTTAACTTGTATTTTTCATGTGTTAATTTCCTTTATTTTTTTCATTATTATTACTTTATGTTATGCAAGTATCTCACTCTGGATTTGAGCCTTATTATTATAGATCCTGCACTGAGGTTCCATCTTCATAACAGTTTCTAATTATGTCTCTATTTTTCAGTTGTATCTCCCTTGCACAGTTATGCTTTTTGTTTTTCTTTCTTTGCTGCTGTTTTTCATGTGTTTTTGTTTTTTGGTTTTTCTTGCTATTTTCCCCTTTTGTGTATTTAATTTGCCTTTTAAAAAAGTTTGACTGTTCTTTTTCTGTCTTCTGAGTCCTTTGGAAAAAACCTGAAAGAAACAATAAACTACTGATGGCAGAAAAAAAAAACACTGTGAAAACACTGTGAACAACATTTCTTTTGTCTTTACATCATGTTAAGAGAAAGGATGTGCTGGTAGAAAAGAGCTTCATGTTCAAGGGGCTAATTTACAGAAATAAGCCCAGGTGATGGCAATTTGAATATTTGGAAAAATAGTTATATAAATGACAATATTTTTGCAGTATAGATTCAGTTCATAAAGATTGGATAAGGGGGAGAACTGGGGGAGAATTAAATTTTAAAATAATTTGGAGCTTCTACTTTGTCTTTCAGACTGTGCCCATCTCTCATATCTTTAGACACTGAAAACAAGAGAGTTCTGTAATTTGGAATTTGAATGTACAGGGAATTTGGAGTAGGCAGAAAAGCCTGAGGTTAATGTGCTGTTAAAATATGCAGTTTAGTCTTAAACATGAGTAATTCTGATTAAATTTCGTAAGGTTCATAAATTTAAGCTGCTTTGTGAGAACAAGATTTGCAGAAATCTGACCTGGAGTTATTTTTGTAATTGGATATGATTTTCAGATTTCACTGGGGGTGCTGTGTTTCTGTTCCACTGGGTCAGAGTGTGGTTTCTGGTCAGGAGGAGTGAGGGGCAGCAGCCATGGCAGTGGCACCTGTCCAGAGCCACGGAGACACATCCTGATCCCTTAAGCTGCACCTTTCCAAACAAAGAATGTGTTACCTCAGCCACATCATAAATTACAGCTATAAAGAGAAAGAATGTGCATCTTACCTTTATAGCAGGGTGTCAGCAAGGGCAATGATTCTGGGGGGGAAAAAGCCCAAAACAAAATAAAAAAACCCAAATAGTTTAGATTGCTGTTATTAAAAAAAAAATGTTATGTATTCTATATATATATAAAAATATCAGAGTGGAGAAGGGGTTTGAGAAGGGTTTTTCACCATGGTCAGGACACTAAGATCAGTTAGTGAGCAAGACTCTATTATAGATTAATATAAAAAGTGAGGGAAAAGGAATGGTAGAAATACTTCATGGAGCAAGCAAGAGTATTGTGAAGGCAAAACCCTTTTCAAATGCAGCTTAAAAGTTCAGGAATTTACCATGCCCAGCACCTGGAGTGGCAATTTCCTATAGCAAGAAAGACTGAGGCAGTGAGCTGAGCTGTGAGGCGCCTGGGGAGCACTCATGTGACAGGGAACTTGGCATAACCAAGTCTTTTTGGTCTCATTAGCCACAATAATTCACAGTGCTGGAAAACTGGCAGGAGGAAAAAATTCCAACTGTTTCAGCAGCTCCTGAAGGGATCGTGTGACTAGTCTGAGACACTTGTAAGATCTGGATTGCTGCTGAATAAAGAGGGGACTGGATTAAGGAAGAAAGTTTTCTTAAGCAAGGAGCTGAAATGAGACAGATGTAGAAGAGAAGTGAGACACAACTTCTGGAGGGAATTGCCCTGAAAAGAACACATTTTCTCACACCTTGAGATTGAAGGTGACTGTCTCCTGGTGTCCTGGCTAGAAGGAAAATTTGTGTTTTGGTGGAACTCTGGTTATTGGGGTCACTGGTGAGGTTGAGAACCCAGTCACAGGAGGTCAGAGCAGCCTCCTGCTGTCCTTGAACCAGGAGGATCTATAAATGTGGCTGGTGAGAGATGGTGAAGTTTATTACCAGTGATTAAGCAAATCACTCGTGGTCTAGAGCACCTTCTTGAGAAAGAGCACCTTGAGTTGCCCACTGTGTTTGTAGGCAACATATTCTAATAGTGCAAAATATGTGGTGGCAGAGAGATTGGCAAAGACACCTTGATAGCACCCAGCTCCTGTGCCCTAGAGCCCAGCTGAGTGTGTGCCACTGCTCTGAGCACGCTGAGGAAGCCAGAGGAGGCTTTTTCAGGGAGAACTGCACAGTGGTTTCGATATCCAGCCTCTGGAAATGTCATTAACAGATTCATTTTTTGAAAAATGTTGTGTGTCTTGATCATGATTTAATCTTTAGGGGTTGCAATTCGTGAAAAAGCCATAATTTTTGTCCTAAATTAACTTTTAATAGAGTAACAAAAGCCCTGAAGGCCAAACCACTTCATCTTTAAAATGTTCACATATTAACATTTTTTCCACATCCATTAAATGAAGATGTTGTTCTACTGTGTAAATATCTGTATTTATTTTAATAATTTACTGCCTTCATAAATATTCATAAAATTGCTTTTTAACTGTCATAAAGTTTGGGATTGGATGTGTATGCAGAGGTTATTGGCAGGCCCTTATAGATAAGGGTTTTCTAAATAGAAAATATTAAAGATTCCCAGAATAAAGGTAATTGGCAAAAAGACTTCAGTTTAATAACCATGTTAATTTTAAATAAGTTTACTTTAGAAAAAGTAATTTCACTTTTCCACAATGTCTACATTGTTTATTTCTTTGTTCCCTCTGGTACTTTTTATGGCTAGCACATACAGTTGTGAAGGTGATAGTTTGCATTGTAAATCTCCATTTAACGAGGACCCTCCCTTTCCTTCCATCCCTTCCTCCATCCCTAGGGATACACAAATATATGTGTGTATGCTTATATACATATATACAGTGTGTGCATATAAATATACAAATAAAAACCAAGGTAAAAAACCGAAACATTTTAAAGGGAACATAAACACTTGATATGCATTTCATTATTAAGGACACTGGGGATTGGTTGGGGTTTTTTGTGGCCTCTTTTTGGACGGTAGAGTTTTTTCCAAGGCTCCTAAAGTCTTTATATACACACATTTCCCCATATGAGTGCTATGGGACTTTTAATGATATTATATCCCTTCCTAAAGCCCTTCTCAAAAAGTCAAGCCACAGATATAGGCAAGATAAATAAAAATTATAGAAACATGTAAAACTACACCTGGGGATCTGGATCT